TCGTTTTCTTTCCCAAATTTGTATTAAATCTCAGGAAGTGATTCCATTAAGGAAAATAAAAAACTGCAAATTTTTTTTAGTTTAAACCGCGTGATTCCAGTGCGCGTAGTTGGAGGTTGAAACTTATCATAAAGAGCTAATAAGTTTGTCTTTTGTTTGTCATTGATTACCAGTTTTAATAGCTCTCTAGCATGAATTTGCATTAAAATATTTTCATTTCCAAATCGTTCTTTGAGATATTCCACAGCTTTTTCGTAATTTTCTTCCGTAGCAGGAAAACTTTCCACTATTGCTTTTGGCACAGTCTCAGGTTTTGTAGATTGCAGTAGATAATGAAACTTGTCTCTCCGGCCGATGCGAGTATCTTCGTGTATTTTACTAAACCTCGTCCAAAACGTTAGCCAGTTTCTTGGTCTCCATCAAACTTCACCAGTTCGATCTCTGGAAGTTTCTGTTTTGCGGCCGTAACTATTCCTGATGAAACCGCTATTCGTTGAACCAGTAGAAGGTTGTGAACACATATCCTTTTTCCTGTTGGCTTTTACTTTCAACGTAGATAATTTATCGTAATGTTCTTGGGCTGCAGTAAATTCACTTTCGTATTCTTCTTGAATACAGCCTTTTTTCTGTAGAAGTTCCAAAAAAGAGTCATCCGTATTTCGTAAGTTTTATACTTCTCTGAAATTGATCCAATAAATTTCTAATCGTCCAATCCGAAAATCTGATCGTATCAGTTCTTCTAACTTATTAGCTATTTTCGTAAATGCACTCCTAATTGCTTTTTGCTTCTGTTTTAGTATTTCTAAATCCTCCATGTTTGCACGTAGGAACTTCTCTTATTTTCGTAAATTATCAAATGTCGAAATTGATAATGTTACCCTGTGACATTCATCCTGGCAGGCTCGCCAAATTTGTTGCTTAAAAAATAAATTACAGGTTCGAAAATCTGAGCCGACACTTTTAAAAAAAAATTTATTTTTCACGCCATTTCTCATTCTACAAAATCTTAAATGCGACTAACTATCAAACAGAAAAGCAGACGTAGACGTAATGCATCTGCGTACGTGATCCTCGTGACAGACGAATTCTTTAGGGTTGCCAAAGAAAGCAGTGTGTCGCCACATAAACAATTATGAATTTAACATACATTACGCTGGAAGAAAAATCTAAGTTATACGTAGATAATATGGGCTGGTGCTACCTCAGATGACTAACTAAAACCTTGGATTAAATGAAGTGCCGTTGCCATTCCCGATAAAAATATGATGTATTAAAAAATTGCCAATTTGAACGTACGTCTTTCTCTTTTATTGATATCTGAATGAATTTCACGTTATACATAATAAAATAAATGCGCTATCACGAATGTGTTTTCTGTTATAAGAAATAATTCATATAATAATTTTAAGAATAAAAATATGACGTTGCTGTTATAGACCAATATGAATAGTTTGCCAAACATAAAAGGTAATAAATTAAAATGATAAAATTTAATAAAAACAAGCCAGCTTGAAAATTACTTTATTTTAATTTCTAAATTTCTTAGGATTTCTGTTTACATATTTTTATTTTGTACACACTCCTTTCTTCTTTGCTCAAAGCTCCTCACTCTGCTCAGCGCGAAAATGTGGGTATTTGCAGAATTTTCGCTCCTTTAATAGGTAACAGCATTTTAGACCACCTGTAAAATAAAAAAAAAAAAAAAAATTTAAAAATATTGAATGAATTTTCTATGAAATTCAAGGCAAAACATTTATAATAAAAAATATATTACTCTTTTTTTTATTTCATAAATGCTTTCTTAACATCAAATAATGTGCAACATCCATTAGTCAAATTTTAATGTTCATTATATTTGATGTTCAAAATAAAAGTATACCAAAATTAAATCGAAAAGCATGTAATTTGATCTGTGTTGATGCAGTTAATGACTCACTCTCTGTTGTTTTTTTTTTTTTTTTTTTTTTTTCTTTAGCCCAAAGAGGGCTATTAGTCTCGAAACGCGATTTTTCGACGAACCTGTATATATGCTTCGTTTCACTTTTCATTCGAGTCTATTGCCAATCGGTAAAATGAAAATATTTATCTTTCAAATTGACTCTCTTGTGATTAACAAACTAAGTTATTTGAAGGCAATAGATGCAGCTTTTAAGAAAATTCGTTTCTTACTTTTGAACCAGATTGATTTAAAAAAAAGAAATGTGTTTATTTCATGATCTATTTAATTAAAAATATTCAATATTTTCATAGAATGGCGTTATATCTTTTATTATTTATTTCATAATTTTTTAAACTTTGATGAATTTTTGATTAACAAACTCAACGATTTGAAAGCAAGCAATGGCAACACTATACGAAATAAAACGTTTTTATCTCCAGTGCATGAGACTGCTTATCGCAAACTTTAAAGATTTGTTGTTTTTAAATATTTTGTGATTTTACCGTCTTGTGTCGAATGGAAAGAGAGTGACAGCGCGCGATAGCGCTCCTTTACTCTGCATCAGATAAAAGAATGTCTGGAACAACAAAAGAAAATATGAAGAATCAAGATGGTAGAATGGGATATTTCACTCAGCCGCCATCAGTCGGCGAAGAAAGATGAAATGAATGAAAATAGATCAGCAATGTGAAAAAAAGTTGGATCAGTAAGGTAGTCGGTACTTCAAATATGTGATTTTACCGTTGAACTGAATTTTATGTAGCACAAGTGCGAAGAACGTGATCTTTAGTAAATAAACTTAACACAAGAAGCAATGATAACAAAAAGGAGAAAAAAGTTTTGTGAGCCATTTTACTAAGAAAACTGAGTATTGATATGATAAACTGAGAAAAGACTGAAAAAATAAAAACGTATGCCAACACTTAAAACTGCATCATGAATTCTAAAAACACACTGTTATGCTGCTTTTAAAATTTTTGTGAATTTGCTGTTGAATTGTATATGCAATAGGACACCCTCCCGAGCTGTGGCTCCGGTGAATGCTGCTTGGTTTTAGAAGCATAATCTACGTTGGCTAGTTTTGGTCAGAATTTAAATAAAAAGCTGCGAAAGGTCGCAGATATTGATTCTCTGCGAGGATGACATAGTTAAAGATCTGGAAATAATTTAAGTGTTCACAATCGAGAGCTTTATGGTAGAAGTTTTCGTTACTCCTATGGAGATATTCTCTCAAGGGTTCAATTCGAAGATCACTGTGAAGCACAGAGTTCCTTACGTAGTAAGGAGCATTCGTAGCAATACGGAGAAAATTGTTTTGAACCACCTGAAGCTTGTTGATGTCGGCTGGCTTGGCCTTATACCAGGCAGGGTGATGCGTAGGTGAGAATAGGTCGTATAGTAGTTAGGTAGATGAGTCGCTTTTTGTTGAGATCAAGATTTGAAAATTTTCCCGGATGGGGAGGAGGCAGTTGATTACGCTTAGGGCTTGATTTCTAATATTACTAATATGCTGGGTCCAGGTGAGTTGTCATTTATTGTGACGCCAAGGTATTTTGCCTGACGCACAATGGGAACTGCTTCGTTGAAGAGAAGTAAATTATTCGTGACAGGGCGATTCCGCTTTTTTCTTCTAAACAGAACGAGTTGTGATTTGCTGGCATTTATTTTAATCTTCCACATACTGCACCAGGCTTCTATTTTCGGGGTAAAATTCTGGAGGACTTTGATTGAGTGATTGATGTTAGCAGATTTCACAGCTATTGCCGTGTCGTCTGCATAACAGGCCAGGATGGAATTTGAAGAATCTATTTTAGGAAAATCACCTGCGTAAAAGAGATACATGACCGGGCCAAGAACACTTCCCTGTGGGATGCCACTTTTGATATTTCTTTCAGCAGAAAAGGCGTCGTTTACGCAAACTTTAAAAGTCCTTTGAGTAATGAAGGAGTAGAGTATGTGGAGAAGTTCAGTTTCATGAGCTTGATGATTAAACCCTCATGCCAGACGCGGTCGAAGGCTTTCGCCACGTCTAACATGAGGATAGCCACATTTAATCTATTGTGCAGCGCCGAACCAGCAAATTCTGTGATGCGGACAAGCTGTTTCGTCGTGGATAACTTTCGACGGAAGCCAAATTGCTCTGGAGGGAGTGCGTTGAGATGTAATCTTGTGAGGCTGATTGTTTCGAAAATCTTACTGAGAATTGGGAACAGGCTTATAGGTCTATATCCATCTGTTTGAGTATGGTTTTCCCCCGGTTTCGGGATCATGATAATCTTCGTTGTCTTCCATGCAGTGGAGAAGTAGCAATTCGTAAGTGATGCATTAAAAATGCTGGTGATTTTACAGATGAAATTAGGTGGCAAGAATTTGATAGATTTAATTGTGATTCTTTCGATTCCAGGGGCTTTTTCTAGGTTTGAGCTTTTTAATGATAATGGAGACTTCCGCCGGAGTAGTAAGTGGGATCAGGTTCTTGACAGTGGGAGAATTAAGCCAATCATGGATTTTAGTAAGGGAAGCTTGTTCGAAATTTGAGTCACAGGGTGATAAATTAGGAGAGAGTTTCTCCTCCAGATGTGAGGCGAAAGAATCAGCTTTTTCCTGGTTCGTAATAGCTGGGTTCTCATTATAATGATAGGTCTATTTGTAGCGTAAGAATTTTTAAAATTTTTAACTATTTTCCATAGTGAACCGTCCTGTGCAGTAAGAATGAGAAGTTTTTAAGTCCAAATTTCTTCTTTGAAATTATTAATTTCATTTCTGATTTCTTTACTAAGCCGATTAATCACTCTTTTAATTTGTGGATCCCATGTCTTATGACATTCCTTGCGGAGTCTATTGCGTTGCCGCATCTTGTCACGTGTGCTGCGAGGGAGGCGTAGAGCATTATCCTTTGCACTGAGATGTTCAGTAGCCTCCGAGATCGCTGCCTGTATGGTCTGCGTTGCTTCGCTGATTGCTTTATGAATGCCATTCTTATCATTTAAATTATCCAATGCCAGATTGTTTGTCACTAGTACATTTTGAAAGAGTATCCAATCAATTCTGCTGCGATAATTGCCATTAATTGCTTTTGTGATCCCTAGGTATGCCAGAACAGGAAGATGATCTGATGATAGTGCATGCTTCACGTCTAAGACCATAGGAAGCGTCTTAGTGGAGAGCGCGATATCCAAAATGTCAGAGAATTCGATGCGTTCCGGTCTGTAGGTCAAGTCGTCCAGCACATAGATAGAGACTGGATTATTGACAATGTAGCTATGTAGAACTTTACCATCGAAAGTTCGATTTCCGACAGTTCCATGCAAGTTCGACAGTTTTTTTACCGCAACTAATAGTTCAGAACTAAAAATTGAATACTATTTTGATAGGCATAAAAAGCAAAATTCTTCCATTTGGAACTATTCTTCTATTTGGAAAACTGTTGGTATGATAATTAGAGAAAATAACTTCCTGACTGATGCGTCGATTTTATGTAAGAGATGGAGGTTTATGATTTTTCAGATCAGGGTAAAGTTGCAGTTCTGCCAAAAGATTCACTTAAAGATTGGTAACAGAGAAAAACAGATAAACATTTGAAACTACTACTCATTAAGCTATCTTTATTCACTCGGATGGTGGTGGCCAGAAGTTGCAGACACCGTAAGTTATTTTGAGAACCATAAAATAAAATAAAAAAAAAAACAGTTGTGCCCTTGTTTTTATTCGACATACAAATCTTACGGTTGCCATTTGGACGCGCTAATCACTTACATCACGAGAACGTGTACGATAATTCCTTATATTCTCCGCCAACATTTAATGGAAACCTGGAGGCCCAGTTGATCAAATTCAAATGATGAAGATCAATCATATCTCAGTCAACATCCACATATCAGTTTGGACTCAGACAATTAAACATTTCGGACCGAAAAAACATGAAAAATAAACTGCGCTATTGCCGGGGTTCGAACCACGAATCTTCAATTCACTAGCTAGACGTGCTAACCATTTACATCAGCTATGCACGGACGCCGGATTTACAGAATTACATTGAGCTTTTATTCATGGCATTTCCTTGACTGTAGCAAAATGCACCTACAGATCTACATTCGCTGATGAGATGAAAACACCAGAACCAGCAACATCCATTTATTTACAGCTAAGATTCAGAGTAAACGGTTGACTTGCCCTAAAAGGCTGTTTCAGATTTATAATTTTTAAAATAAATTTGCTTGAATTTTTTTTATAACGTAAATGAGAGCAATTGTGTATAAATATCTCATCATCTTCCCATGGTTTGCATCCATAAAGATCTCATTTTAGTAATTTCAGGTGTTTTGGTTAGTTCGCAGTCGGCGATAATTGCTTCACACCCTCAAGAATAAACTTGAAAACAATTATAATATATAGGAATTTAAAAAGAAATCAATCCGCCCTTACAGTTCTAAATTGAAAACATTCTGCTTTAAGATGAAGAATGGTAAAGCAATGCTAATGAGGTTGAACTGGGAACAACTTCTGCCACCTCCACCTTCGAGTTTTCGACAACAGGAAGGAAGATGTTCAAGATGTCGCCCGCGCTAAAATACTTTAAAGAATCTCTGCTACTATGCAGCCATTCATCATTTTTAGACACTTAGATTGAAATTATAAGGAGCAAGATGCGATGAATATTCAATAGGTCCTAGCAGCCTGTTTTTCCTGTACCCACTCTTCCCAGAAGTTTCGATTAACGTGCACTCACGTAGGCCCGCACA